ATGTTAAAAAAAAAAAAAAAAAAACGCGTTCTGTGTAAAAGGCCTCTATCTCAGTAAAGTTCTAGAACGGATAACATTGCATACAGATCTTTTAAATATTAATTGAATAAGTCTTACTGTTCATAGGTCATTCCACCGCCACTTGAATGTGTGGTAAATATAACAATCTGCCTAAAGAAATGTTATGAACTTAAGATTTATACAGGAGGTTACTTTACATTACAAAATTGTGTTTGAGTTTAGGTCAGTTTGTGCAAAAAGAATGTTTATAGATTTAGAACTGTGCTATTCATTAATTAATAGGTTTCTCTAGTAAACTGCATCAGTTGTCAGCACCAATGGCCTCGTGGGCCCAGTAGCCCCTCACTGCAGTACACAAGATCCAGGGGGCAAGGTTAGTAGGTTACATCCACGTCCAGGGGGTGGAGACGGGTAGGTTTAGGGATATGTAAAGTGGGAGAAGTTGGATCTGGAATTTTGGATCCTATCTCGCTCTCTGAATCTCATGTTCTGCAGTCTCTCTCACCCACGTCGCTTCCTGTCGACCTATACTGTCCTATCTAAATAAAGGCATAAAACGAAACAAAAAAGGCACATCCCAAAAAAAAACTACATCAATGAGTTACAGGTAAACACCACCTGTTAGTGCATTTTGCGTTTGTTGCAAACATAAGAAACAGACTGTTCACATGGTATAGTAGTAATATTGGGTCTTTATTAAGCAATCTCTTGAACCACAGTACTGTGTTTAGATTAGATAGGCCTCAGAAGTGAGAGGAATGCAGAGTCCCTAATGAGATTAATTTAATCAAAAAAAAAAAACATAGCCTTATATACAAGTGGATAGGGTGGGCATGTGCAATAGGTGCAGCAGGGAGTAAACTGGGATGGGGAACATGGGAAAATGTTGGTGGTATTAGTACATGTAGGCTTTGGAGTAGGACTGAGGGCCCATATTGGTGGCAGCTAGTTCGGGAGGATAAGACGCCCCCTCATCAAGGTGAGACAGCGGCACCGTGTCTTCCTCGTTGACATAGCGTTCAAATTCTGCCTTCAGACTTGGCCGCTGATTGTCGGGAAAAGCCAAGGATATCAGAGCCTCCGGCTCACACACGAATTTGTAAACATAACGCTCACCCGCCACCTGAAAAAAAAAAAGTTAAATATTGATTATTTCATAATCAAAAATTATAACCCTCATGTTCTGTTTGGGTCCCCAAACTCTTTTTTAAGATATCAAAAACCATGCTTAACACTTACATACTTTAGTAGTACACACCTGGATTTAATTTAATTTTGTATTATTGTATTTGAAATGTATTTTGTACTACGTGTTTTTGCTGGTGTCAAACTGAAACCAGACAGAAACAACATTACTTAGATAAAATTGACATTTTGGAAATAGGCTATTCGTTATTATTACGGTATTATTATTAATTTTAGACAAATTGTTCTGGAGTCTATATTTGGAGTCTCTGGGACCCCAAATATAGAGTAATGTCAATCTCAATCGGACGTTAGGGTTGAAGTGAAGAAAAAAAATAGCAGAGGAGACAATAAAATAAGTGATGAAATACCTTTTGCATAATTCCCTTCTCATAATAGTAGCGCAAAGAACGACTCAGTTTGTCGTAATTCATGGCTGGACGGTTCTTCTGCATCCCCCAGAGTCTTGCCACCTAGAGTGTCAAAATAAGTCATAATACAAACCATAAAAGCAAGAAATGACTGTATTGCAGTGATTTAATTTGAACACAAGAGGCCCTTTGTGACTGTACAACAACTGAACTTTGAAAAGGAAGGGCGAGTCCCCGCAAAATAATGTAGTTCCCTTTTATACAACCAAATTACCACTAAACGCTGACCAAAACACCACACGGCGCAGAGCTCAAACTGCTAGTTGTCAAACCTAGAGGAAATACTTATTTAGCCTAAACTTTAAGGATCGACTTGAGGGCCCTTGAGAAAAAAACATGTTGTTCCATCTTGGGCCAGTAAACTTATGGGTCTGCTGACATTTAAGGAACAGATTGTTTGGTCTTCGACAGAGCTGTACGCTTTAATTGCGATAGTAAAACTTTGGCTGTAATGAATGATTCATGCGTACAGTTGAGCAGAACTGATGGATGCATCTCTGCATGATAGTTTGCTGAGTCATGCCATTTAGCCATCTACTGACCACAGACAATAGGAGGTTAACGCTCTTGTCTCAACCGCTGCAGTGTGCTTAGACTCCGGCAAAATGGAAGGCTGTAATATTTGGTAATGGAGCCATTCTCCATTTTATTTCACTATGCTGTTAAGTAGGGTAAATAATGCATGGCAGCTAATGGAAAACTGGCATCGTGTGGATGAGTTCTTAAACCCTAGGGAACTGTGAGCTGATTGCAAGCAAATCTCTGAAACCCATTGTTTATTCTCTCTATAGTTTGTGAAGGCTGAATAAACACTGCATCGAATTCATCTGAACCTCCCAATAATCATATTGTAATTTTAGTTCTTTGAATGATCAATTGCTATTAATGTTTTCTGGATATAAAACCTATTTTTCCTTCTGAAAACTCTTAAAAGCCCAATTTTTACCTCCTCTGGCTCGATGAGTTTGAACTCCATGCCACGGCCGGTCCATGCGATGAAGTGCGCATTGCCGGGGTCGTCGAGGAGGGCCACCAAAAACTGCCAGAGCTGCAGTGAGCCACGGCGCTGATAGGGGGCACCCTCACGAAACACACCGCCCCCTTCCTGCTTCACCTCACCTGAGCTCAGGAAAAGAGATCGTCCATTAATTCACCTATAGATAGCAATCATATCTCAAAACCTTTTATTCAAGCTAAGACAGACACATAAGGACTTGATTTGAAATCGCAAATAATCATAGAGGGGGGAGACCACACTGAAAATTTGAGATTCAAAATCTAGAATTTTAGGACTTAAAAAATCAAAAATGTTGAAAAATAATTTTTTAATCATGCTCGAGAATGTAATAATCAGGTTTTACACAAACTTGTGGAGTTCATTTAGTGTAGGATAGGCAAGCCAAATACTAAGAAAAAACGTACTCTGTTACTAACATAACCTCGGTTCCTTGAGATACGGGAACGAGTACATATAGGGAAAAAGCCTTTTTCTCCTGAACTGAAGCCTTTTTTCATTCACGCAGTGAAACTGCACGGCCATTGGTTCGTGAAGTGTATTAAAAACGAACCAATGGCTAGGCAGCGGAGCTGCACGAGCCTATGGTGATGAAGTCCAATCCTGTATCAAGCCTGCCAAAGCCCGCCAGAATGGACGGGGCATCTGGCTATATAAGCAGGCGTTCACCACAGGATTCTCAGGTTACGTCGACTGAAGCGACGACTGAGTCGTGCAGCTACATAGCACGGCTAGCAACGCAGTACTCGTTCCCGTATCTCAGGGAACCGAGGTTACGTTAGTAACCGAGTACGTTCCCTTTCGATACTACACTCGCACTGCGTCTTGCTAGACGCATATGAGAACACAGTACAATCACGCCGTGCTAATGTAGTGGAATGACTAAAAGTATCAAACTTCCATAAGCAACCAATGCCCATAGAGAAGTTAACAACAACCCAAGGCTAAGATGGGCTGAGCTTCCTGAGGTCACACCCGGCCTGGTTAATCGTTCCAGAGTACTCCTGTAACTTCAACACCCAGGGGTCGAGAGCTAACAGGTGAACTAATGTCAGAGAGCTTGAGCGTGATACGGCCAAGGGCTCTCTGCCAGATCTGTTTACGCAGCGCATGTCACTTCAAGCGGAAAACCCCTTAGGAAGCGGATGACTGCGCTGTTTCTGCCCAACGATTGGCCCTCAATAGGTGCATGAGAGGCTGCTATAGCCACCACATAGAATTTGAGCGTGGATGGGGAACGTCATTTATCCAGCAGCTCTTGCAGAAATGACAACACCTCTGTCAAATCGGAAGCACAGCTGGTTCATCCAAAGGGGGGCCACCAGGAGATCCTTGTGTTTTTGTTCCCATACTCGCCTAATTACCTGTGGGATCAGAGCGATCGGCGGAAAAGCATAAAGAAGGAGATTGGGCCAATCGTGGGCCAACGCGTCCCTGGTCTTTGAGAAATAAAATGGGCAGTGAGAGTTGTCTTCTTGAGGCGAAGAGGTCCACATCGGCCTTGCCGAAGATCTCTCAGATCCTCTGAACCGTCTGCGGATGGAGCGTCCACTCTCCTGAGGGGACATTGCTCCTTGATAGCATATCCGCTCCTTGGTTCAATTTGCCCGGTATATGCGCTGCTCTCAGCGAGCGCAGGTTGGGTTGAGCCCATTCTAAGAAGCGCTCTACCAGAGTGAAGAGGCGCTTCGAGGAGAGGCCTCCCTGGCAATTTATGTAGGACACCACAGACATGTTGTCCGATCGGAGTAGCACATGGTGCCCCTTTAGGACTGGCAGGAAGAACTGACAGGCTCGACATACTGCTAGCATTTCCAGGCAGTTGATGTGGAAGCCTTTTTCCATCTTCGACCAGTGGCCGAAAGTCGGTATGCCCTCGCACAGTGCCCCCCAACCTGAGTTGGAGGCGTCTGTTGTGACAACTGTCCTGCAAACCATCCCATGGCCACGCCCTGTTCCATCCAGCGGGAGTTCATCCAGGGGGCCAGGGCTGTTACAGAGGTCGAAAATTGTTCCTAGGAATGATATTCGCTGGCTGGGGAACAACGGGCTCTTGACAAAATTGACCCTGAGTCCCAGGCACTCCAGGTGGCTGAGGAGGAGGGTCTTGTGTGATATTAATTCTGCCTCTGACTGGGCCAGAACGAGCCAGTCGTCAAGGTAATTGAGAATGCGGATTCCCACCTGTCTCAGAGGGGAGAGAGCAGCGCCCATGCACTTCGTAAAAGTGCGGGGGGCCAGTATGCGAGTCGGCAAGGTAATTGAGAATGCGGATTCCCACCTGTCTCAGAGGGGAGAGAGCAGCGTCCATGCACTTCGTAAAAGTGCGGGGGGCCAGTATGCGTCTAGCGAAAAGAACCAGTCTCCTGAGTGTATTCGCGCAAGGATCTGTTTCAGCATAGTCATCCTGAACGACCTTTTCATGAGGGCGTGATTCAGGTGTCTGAGATCGAGGATGGGCCGGAGGCAACCATCCTTTTTGGGGACGAGGAAGTAGTGGCTGTCGCAGTCTGACTCGCTCTGAGCTGGGGGAACAGTTTCTACGGCTCCTATCGCCTGCAAATTCATCACCTCTGAGCGCAGGACGTGTGTGTCTTTGCTCTAAGCTGAAGCTTAAGCTGAAGCTTCTTTCCACGCAGCTGAATCGCGGGGTATTCGAGCGAATTGCAGTGAATAACCTCGGTGCGCGCAGCCTCAGCGTGGGCGTGGCCCAGACGTGTTCAATTTGAAGCTGTCAGTGATAATAATCATTAGTGACAGCATTCTCTTTTAATCCACCTAAAAAGATCAAACCACTCATTAGAAGAGGAGTTTTGATGATCTTTATGTGTAAACACTCCGGCAGATCAAAAATGCTGCATGCATTCTCTCAAATCCGATCGTAGCGGATGAGGGGAGGGGCGGGGCCGTCTTCATTGAAGAAAGCGAGCCGCGAGCAAAGCAAAGCGAGACATGAACTCTCGTTGTAAGAGCGGTCTGTCTCAGCAGCGCAACCTCAGCGTGGGCGTGGCCCAGGCGTGTCCGTGAGTGGAGAAGAGCGAGACTCATGCTCTGAATGAGCATTCTGTCTCAGTAAGCGCGCAGCTTACTGCCCTTCTGCGGCAGATCCGAGTGCAATGGAGAAAGAGAGCACGCGGGCACATTGCCGGCATGAGATCAGTCAACCCGGTTGCTTATTCCCTGACTCCGCTGTTTCCCTCTCCGAGGCTCGCTGAGAGAGGAGAAACGGGAGAGCGGGGCTGCCCTCAGTGAAGGCGGTCCGTGAGTGGAGAAGGGCAAGACTCATGCTTTTAACAAGAGCATTCCGTCTCAGTGAGCGAGCAGTCTCTGCATGGGGGCTGCCCAGACAGGTGACGGCACTCACTGCCCTTCTGCATCGTGCAAGATTCACTGCATGAGCCACACTCACAGCGCGACATTTGCAACACCGTCGCTAGAATTTGCCCTTTTAGGGCTTACCTGCTAGAAATAAGCTCTTTCAGTTTCGCCGGATGGCGGCAGGGGAACAGGACCGGAACTGCTGCGATGCTAAGGCGCGAAGAGAGCCGGTCAGCCGAGCAGGGAGCTGTCCAGCTGTGAGGCGTGTCAATGGCGAGCAGGCTTTCAGGATCAGCGATGAGCGTAGAGTCATCGCTGAAGGAGAATAAATCTGAGAATCCTGTGGCGAGCGTCCGCTTATATATACCACATATGCGTCTAGCAAGACGCAGTACGAGTGTAGTATCGAAAGGGAACTAGATTTATATTCATTTTTCAATTCAGCTTTCCATTCTGATTGTTATGTTGGTAACAATTTGATAAAAACAAATGTACATTTTGTAAAAACAAAATGAACACATTTTCAGTAATGGTCTCAGACTTTTGGGCCCCACTGTATTCATTTTGTTTCTCATTTTTGTATGTTGTAGCACTTCATTTCATTGTGTGAGCTTGGCACTTGAACAGACTATTTGTATTTGAAATTAATACCTGTCCTATCTGGACAAGTGAAACTTACCTTCAAATTTCTCAGGAACAACGCGTGAATCATTTTCAAACATGTAACCTAGTAAGACAGGACAAGGGAATTATTAGAAGTTTAAAGTGGATACCAAGACAATCCACTTGAGTTATACTGTGCTAATGTATTAATGGTAGTCATTAATAATAACAAGTATTTTCCTGTTTGACTTTTCAAATTGAGATGTATGAATACCGTAACTGTTTTTCCATTGATATTTATGAATTCTTATTATGGGAAACAAGGATTCTTGATGGTTATTATTATTCGGTTATGTACACTTATGAAGCAAGGAACTAAATTTTCTGTATCTAATGGCTCATTACAGAGATCAGCTAACAACTGAAAATACCCAAAATGGTGCGGAAAATGCAGCAAACGGAGAGAAGGATTATTTTTCTTCACTCCAGGAAAAATACCCGTCTTTTCCAGTAGTAATATTTACCCTGGAATTCTTTAGGCAAGGGAGAAACAAATGTCCATGCCAACAGAAACACAGACCCTCTGGCCTGGTTAGCCAGTGACCGCACAGTACTGGCCAATCCTGACGTGCTGTGAGTGTGTGAAATGCACATTCTAGAACTATACAAGAGCTGCATGTTCTAGATGGACAAACCATGTCCTTACCTTCACTGTTGTGCTGTGGGTTGGGGTAGCCCTCGTTGTGATGATACATGGAGGGGCAACCAGGCACATCTGTAGAGAAAACACAAACGAATGACCCTCAGTGATGGATGCGTGCAAATGATCTGATAATCATTATTTATGCTTCCTGTTGGTGAAAAGTCAACTGCTTTGTTCCAAAACCCATAGTGAGTTTCCTACATAGGAAGCATTTTAGCTGTCTGGAGCAAAAGCTAAATGTTAGCATTTCAGTTTTGCTCCCTTCTAGCGGGGAGGCAGCATTGCATATATTCTTCACACACAGTCTAAAGTGAAAAATAAATCCAAGGTGGCAGACAAGATGAAACAAATGTTGATTTTCACATAAGCAATTTGATCCTGAAAAGTACAGATAAAAATACCTTTTTTTATATACGTAAGTCCTATTTATTTATTTTAATTTTAAATTCAAGTTAATCAATTAACTTTTCATCACCTCATGAACCCTGTGTAGTTTACTAACAAACACCCGTTTGTGAAACCCTGAATTAGTGTATCGCACCATTAGCACTATAGCAAATTTCACGTTGCTCTCCTGTTTGAAGCGCTATTTTTTGTGTGTTGCCGCCTATTCATAATTATTTCCTTATGAGGTTACGTTGTGGTTAGGATATGCTGCCTATGTAGGTAGTAAGCAGCAAGGCAGCTCACTAGGTTTGAGAACAGAGCTAATCATTGTTGGTCCTCTTTAGGCACTATTTCTATAGGGTGTGAGGCTGGTGCATCTGCAGATTTGATAACCTCTGCCACTGAGTGCTGCAAGGACAAAAGGTCCATTTGTCATAAAGTCATTTGTCATAATATCACCTGTCTGCAGTTTTATTTTTAGGCAGTAAAGAGCAGTGGATCTTAAACAGTCACACAGAACTGCAGGAAGCCAGAATCAGCTTTATAACAGCTCTCTCTCCCTCTCACTCCTATACTGTATAAATGAGAAATGGTTAGTTTGAGGTGGAGTCATGATTCATGGCTGGAGAATGCAGTGGCAGAGGCCATGATAAGAGGTCACAGGGGAGGAAGAGCTCTGAGGGACTAGAGCACTTTTCTCATACATAGAGCTCATTAATGAAACTGTTGACAGAGCTGTTGGACTGGAACTTTTTCAGTTCCATTTTCAACTGAACCAGTCACAGGATCCCTTATGAAACATAAACTGCATGGTAGGGCTGCACGATTGGGGAAATATGTAATTGTTTTTATAGATATAATGATGATGACGATGATGATGATAACTGAAAGTGTATTATTATTAAGATTAAACATAATAAGAATTATTACTAATGTAATATTGTACAAAAACATTTGAATATGACCCAAACTCACAGCACACGCAGATTTTTTTTTTCATTAACTGCGAGTCGCTCTAGGATGCTGAAAACACAGGATCATGAACTGCTCACGTGTAAATAAACACAGTGCACTCTGAAACACTCTGAAACAAACCGCACATGTATTTATTTACTTAAACCACAGGCTTTGTGATTTAATAATCAAACTATGCCATTTGTTGTTATCAGTTTTATTTTGATTTAATCATGCAGCCCTACCGCATGTTGTACAAAAGTGTCGGTACGGTTTCTTATTGGTGTTAGCTTGTATTTCTCTCTGTTTTTGTTCTGTAACAGAGCGGCAGCCACCGGCCTGGGCAGGGATGAATCTACTGATAACATGCTGTACTCCACCTCAGATAGGGCACTCTATCCTCACACATCCTTTTGTTCCAGACTATCTCATCCGAAGTTGCCACATTTCTGCACGTATGAATCTGAGCTAAGCAGCATCAGTTTTATAACAGTGTTGTTTTAGTTTTATTTTATTTTTATCTTTTCAGTTTTCATTTTAATTTAAGTTTTGGTCATTTAAGTGCTTTTGTCATTTTTATTAGTTTTCTTTTTATCTTAGTTCTAGTAATTTTAGTACTTCAACTTATTTTATTTTAGTTCATTACTAAGGCAACATTTCTAATTTGTATGACTATTTAAGTCCTAATATAATATTTATGTGTATGTGCTTTATTTCAATTATGGAAATGTTCATTAATAATTTTAATAGTTTTAGTTAACAATAACAACACTGGACATGCAGTAGAAGGGAACGTAAGTACCCTGAAAAGGTCATGTTTCCTTTTTTTCCATTTAAAAGAATCGGGTGAAATGGTAACTTTGTTTTTCAGCTAATCTATGTGCAATGTTTGTTAGATCACTGTTGTTTGTAGTCTTTCACAGAGCACTGATAAGTTGGACCTGCGCAGGGTGTTGTGTTTCGACCCTGTGTCAGTCGCAAAAGCCGAGTGGGAGGAGGTGAGTTCGTCTGTGTTGTGAGTATATGGCCCGAGCCCCCCGGCTACAACACAACCCCCCCGCCCACCTCCCACCCACTCGACCAAGCCAGCGCATAGGCTCGGGTTACTGAGGCTACGCTCATTTTTCCATTATGAGTTAATCTGCCTGCAGAGAAAGGAAGCCGCTGCTGCAACCCTACACCCGCGAGCACTCCGCTGGGGATTCTAGTCTTTCCAGTGCCCTCCATTTTCTCAATGAAATTCCTATGCCTCCTCCTTCTCAAAGAACACAGGCAGAAAAGGGAGGGGCGAAGGAGCAGGAGCGGGCAGAAGTACAGAAAACACTGTTGAGACCTTTGTAAAGTGTCAGTGGATGTGGAAGCGAAGAGGAACAAATAGAATCTCTTCGAAAAAAGACTCTGGTTTTGTCGTGAAATTTACTGTTTACATTAGTGGCCTAATGTGGTTTGATTTTTCAGGAAAAGAGAGGAGATGAGACACCACTTCAAAGCAAATCAATTCACTTTGTGTCATTAGTCTTTTGACTCACGTACCAGGTTCGTAACTGTAGTCAGTGGGTTCCTGTTTGACCATCATATGGGCAGGAGGAAACCTCTGATGCTGTGGCCCGGCCATGTGGGCCGCTCGGTCGTACAGAGGGTCCATGTACTCCTGCTTGAAGTTCTGCTGAGGAGGATAAGGCAAGCAGGGGTCAGAGTGTTGCCGATGATAACCACCACCTCCGCCCCCAGAGGCATGGGCAGGATGCATGCGCTGCAGGGCCTGGCCTTGGGAAGCGAATGGTGGGCACATCTCTACAGAGCCGGAAGGGAACCTGGAACTGGGAGGGAAAATGAGACCTTGATTAACAGATAGGCTCCTAAAAATGCTGTTGCAATGCAAGTATGCTTTATCTGTATGCTATAGCATGCACAATTAAATATCCATATGGATTCGCTTGTATTTAAAATGACTGATTTTAGTTTTTCGACCGATACCCGTACCAATATATCATGCATCTCTACTTGAAAGTTTACACACACACATTCTTTGTCATTATTGTTACCTGGGGTTCATGGGGTAACTGTGGATGTGGCAGGCATGGGATTGGCTGGCTGAGGGTGTATTCATGTACCCTGACTCCGGCCGAGTTCCCACTGTTGGTTTTGGGGAGTAATGCTGCATAGGAGACATGGGTGTTCCTGGACAAGAGCTCTTAGATCCTCCTGCTGTTGCTGCCACGGCTGCTCTCTTCTGCTCGTAGGCACTACAGGGCACACACACTTTCAAAGTCAACAATGCATTTCTTTCCTGTTATATATGCATGAAATCTTGTATGGATGTCTCTTCGATTATAAACACTTTTATGTCTCAGGAGTAGATTTTTGTTAAAATATTATTATGATTTTTTTTTTCTCCGTTTTAAATGGTCACATTAAAACCAGAAAAGTATATGTATAGACTTTTGTTTTACATTTGACCCAGACATGCATTCTTAAAATATGAGAATGCATAATAAAAATATAACATTAATTATTATATTAATATTTTTTTACAACTGAAACATTTGTAAAAATCTAAAAGAGTGGAAAAACTATTTCTATATTAATCTAAACAAAGAGTGGAAAAACTTTTCTTATAATATTTTTTACACAAATTCTGACCCTCAAATGTGTTTTCATCTCTTATTATATATGAAAATATATTTTAGCTATATTTAATTAAATAAAATGTGAAATCAGCCTTAGCAAGACAAGTCTGCCTATTTATTTTAAAAATTGTTTAAAATGTTGTTTCCACCATGGCATACAATTAAACCCATTGCATCATTTGAGATGTTTTCAAAATGACTTCTAGAGACATAAAAACACTTCTGTGATATGTAAGATTAAGGCATCATGGCACTTATTATAGCCACTGCCCTGCAAAATTTAGCTCAAGATCAAAATCACCTACTACTAATTTTCTAGTTACTCTGAAGACCTTGATTAGCTTGCTCAGGTGTCCTTGATTGTGGCCATGATATACTTCAAGTGAAATTGAAGAATGAATCAGTGTAACGTCATTTCGAACAAAATCAGGCCAAAACTCTGCAGGGCAGTGACCTCCCAGGGCCGGATTTGAAGAACCCTGCATTATAGTGTGAAATGTGTGTTATAAGAATCTAATTTCTGTGTCCACAGGGCTAAAGGTGAACGTAGTAAACCTGCTCACACCATGAAAGTATGTTCATCTGGCGAGAGGCATCAAGGAACAGCATCTGCCTTTTGACTGACCTGGCGTAAAGGCACTGCTCTCCATTGGGGTAGCTGAAGCTCTGCTTGTGACTGCAAGACTGGCTGGGGTCTGAGCCGGGACTCTGAGGCTCTTTCTTAATCTTCACAGGCGGGCTGTGGAATGCCACTGCTGCGGTACACAGAGAAACAGGTTTATTAATGAACCACATTTCAGCTAATTCCTGTTTGAGAAATGACAGGCCTTTTGTCTGCACTAAAAATACAACAAGAGTATACAAACAAGAGTAAAGAGATACACATGTATTCCAAATACTTTAATGAACTTGGTTTGTCCTTTAGCTTTAGTGAGGGCAGTAGATCATGCAAACGTGATCTTTTAACTCAACCACAGTTGACACGGTAAAACTTACTGTGCCCTGGACTCAGCTTCAAACTAAATCATAAACAATTATATACATAAACATCCACTAGCATAAAAAAGTTACTTCCATTAATAAATATTGAAACGTGGACTTAACCATTTTAGATTAATTATTAATGTGCATTAGATTCATAATTCTAATTTCCAGATTTTTTTCTTCAACCCTTTTAAAGCACAGACCTGTTAAAAACATTCAATGGCTGTGGTTAAATGAGTAAGCCTTTTATAAACACATCAGCAGCTGGTCATTTACATAAGATTTTTTCTCCAGTTTCTCCAGCCCAGCTTTTAAAGATTTTGGCATTTAGCTGAGGAGTAGCAGAGGAGCCGCCCAGCATGCGTGGGGTCTGGGTCTGAACCACAGTGCTGTTTATTATTGGAGGGGAGCAGCCGGGCTCAAAGACGACGCGGTACAGGATGTTTTTCTGGGCCGCTCAGGGTAAACAGCAGCAGCTGTGCTCTTCCAGCTGAGCAGCAGCTCTGTGTTTATGGCTGTTTATGTGTTGATTGTCGTGGGCGCAGACCTGACAGAACAGGCACTGCTGAAACCCAAGCCCAGGTAATTGCATATTTCATTCACAAAAGCAAGAAAAAAATGGGGGAAAGGCCTTCCAATACTGTAACACTGCAGCATAAGTCCTGCCCTCTCAAAGGCAATACTCAAATCGAAAGAGAAAGAGTTGAAATATGAAAAGAACGAGTGATTCTTAAACATTCTTCTCTATAATGAGTCTGCATAAAATTTATAGATTTGACATTTCAAGTCTCAAATCAATGCTATGCTTTAATAATGGACTGCTCATTTGATCAATAAGGTTGCAAGTCCTTTTACAAATTCATTACGAATATAGAACCACTAAAACCACTCTATTAAAGCAATGAATCATTTCACTCTAAATACTCTAAAATGGGATGGAGGACCAAACGAGGACTTCAGGAGGTCACTTCAGGAACGTGTAACATTATCAAGACACATCCGTGTGTCGTTAAATCTCCTTGAGTTTACAGACTGATGGCACTCGAGTAAACAGTGATGTGACAATAAGGGAAGATCTTGTACTTTATTTAGTACAATTCGCCCAAAGCTCTCAGTTTCTGCTTTCTCTCTTTACGATTCGTGTGAAAGTTACATCACTGTTCTCTAAAGAAACTCATATTTCTTTGGTTTTGTTTCTTGTAAAAAAGGGGGGGATAGGGGTTGTGATCCTAAATGTGTAATGTAATACCAAAGAGGAATACATAATGTTTTTAAAATTTAATTTAGATTTCACTGGAAGGACTCCACGCCTACTTTATTGTTATCTTCAAAGAGTGTAGATCAGAGGAAGGGTAAAAAAAAAGGGTGTAAGAGATGTAAGAGAGTTTGGACCACGTATGTGCTTTTTAAATGTAAACATTTGGTTTTATGTGATGCACGTATATGAACTTACACCTGTATAATTTACAGCTATCAGCAGGCCTTTTTTGTTACAAAAAATAATTAAATGAATACATTCTGTGTGCTCTCTTTTGTTTTATCCCATTATGTAGGTTATGAAGGCAGCATAAAGTTTATTCCAGACATTTAAACCTGCAAAAAAAAAAAAAAGGCCGGTCTTTGACCTAAAATGAGTTTGACACCTCTAGTGATCGTAATCTGCCAGGTAAGGCTATAAACCTGCCAAAATATACTATAGATTTAAATTGCATTAAGTGCATTTACCATTAACACCTCCCTTCAAGCTACATCTAAGTGTGAAAAACCAGGAGCATTGTACCTAAATGACAAGAGTGTCTCCATTCAGGATGAGCTTTTAGAGACAGGCTGGGCTAGAGGTGGGAGCTGGACTTTACATATGTAAATAGCAGGATTCAGTGGAGAGGATAAGGGGTGAAAGGTGATGGTCATGGTTGAGTGCTTTAGGAAGTAGGGGATCATTATGGAGGGCCATTCAGTCAACTCCCACCACAAACAAATCTCAGGACCCCGATACCCCCTGCCCTAAACAAAAAAAAGATCCACCAGCTGTGACATATGGAGGTATGGTGGCCTTAGCCGAGAGCTCTGGGGGATCGTCCTAAGAAAGTGTGTTAAAGTACAAGTAATCACTAATCAATTTAGTTTGAATAAAAGTACCATTGTTGAAACTGTGAGCCAGATTTCAGTCACTGTTAAGGCAGGACAGCTTTGTTTTTAGTTAAACCTTAACTCCACTGATCATCTGGACAGTATTGTATATTCATGTCAGGCTCACATCCTGGAAATGTTCATTTTATGACAATTACAGTTGAGGCCCACCGTATCAACTCAGCAGGGACAGTGTACCAAAGTGTGAGTAATAATATCTCAAGACTATAAACCTATCATATCCTACCAGAGGAACGTGCCTGCTGCGGCCTGTCGTCAGATAAAACACAAATCCTGAACAGAACAAGTCTTTATGCAAAGACTGTTTGATAAAAACACTGAACAAAGGATTATTGTATTGTGTTAGTCTGGTGTGATGGGAGTGTTTGATATTTGTGCTGATGTTGTGATAAAATCTGATTTTCGATTATGACAACAGTCTGCTTGAGAGTGAGTGAAGAGATGCCACCTGGCGTCCCACTGGCCATTTGAGACCAACAGTGACAAATCAATAAGAACAACAAGGATGCCAATTATGTCTGAATGGCTTAAAGGTTGGAATGGCAGTATTGATTTTGGGCAGCCCAATTAACACGGCTCTCAAAGCTTGTTTCTTTTTAAGTACAGCCTGTCATAGGATGTACATCAGGTGTTTAATTGAAATAAAAGTGACAGGATTCCAAAACAGAAAGTCACTCTTATAATAAAAACCAATTGGAAATGTCAAAAATTTCTAGTTAAACAACACTTATTGTAGACATTACAGCAACAATTCCAGCTGATACTGATAAGCCAGCCTGATCTCATGGCAATTCGTACATATTTTACGAGGTGGCTAATTCATACAAATTCTTACGATGTCACTTGTACAAATTCATAAGATTTTTGCTAAATCGTACGTATTTTACGAGTTGCACAATTCGGATGAATTTGTACGAATGACCTACACCTAACCCCGCCCCTAAACCTACCCGTCACTGGGGTGTAGACAAATCGTACAAAATCGTACGAGTGAGGTCATACGAATTTGTACAAATTAGCCACCTCGTAAAATACGTACGAATTGGTCATACGATAGCATTGGATAAGCTGATAATTACTTGTATGGTTAATATTTTATACTATTTTGTGTAATTCAAATTAAAACACTGAAATTAATCATACAGATTTTTAAAAATGTTTTTCAAAATCTTAAATGCTCACCATGGCTGCATTGATTTGATTGGAAAATACAGAAAAACAATAATACTGTGAAATATTTTTACAATTAAAATAACTTTTTATTTTAATACATTTCAAAATGTAATTAATTCCTGTGATGGCAAAAGTGCAGTATTACTCTAGACTTGTTTCACATGACCCCTTAGAAATCATTTTAATATGCTTACTTAAAATCAAGTAACATTTTTAACTAACAGTTGTGCTGCTTAATATCCTTGTGGAAAGTGTGACCTTTTTCAGGATTTTTATGAACAGAGTTTAAAAGAACAGCATTTATTTGAAATGGAAAACCTTTGTAACATTATAAATGTCTTTTTACTGACACTATTGAAACTTTAATTTAAGTTTAATGTGTCCTTGCTGAATGAAAGTATTACTGATCCCAAACATTTGGTATAATGGCTTGGTGAGCATAACAAAGATAGTTGTTTTTGAGCCGTTTCTTTCATGGCTTTTTGTGGATTTTTTGTTTAAGTAGAAAATAAGCTAAGAAGGTTTTCTTTCCTGATTTGAGGAGCTTTTGTAAATCCATCATCATTGAAATGATCAGTAGAAAGTCCGAGGAGGGATGTGGATGATAGAAAGGACTGTTCTTTCAGCCAGAGGTTTTGCTGAAACAATGCTGTTATCTCAGCACAGTTCAGCAACACATGGCGGACATGTGGTGTCCATGTCAACACGATCAGAATGAAAGAGAGAGCAAGCGAGAGAACGCAAACAAAAAAGGAAGTTCTGGCCTCTCTCAGATGGTGAATGGCCAGGGGTTTTCCATAAAAATGGTTCTCTGCTCGCTTGGGTTTGACTGTCACTTCTGAGTGTCAGTGACTTCCCCTTTGAGTTTCAGACAGCTATTGGTAGCTCAAAAATTGTTGGCAAACTTGAATAACAAGATAAGTAGAGACGATCAGACAGAGTCTCGTGTATCTAAGCTAAATTTTGCGCTCTCAACACGTCTTTTGTTTGAAAACACATTTGGATGCTTAATGTGTTTAGTGTTTTTGTGTACTAAATGTCATGTTGTAATTGGGACTAGGTCTGAATGACATATGGCCAGTTTCTGTTAACCACACGGTATCAGTTCCCATTTATGAGTGGATTATTTTTTCTGATGCAACCGCATGACGCTCTTTGCCAATAAAAGAAATGCACCATCCGTCTTTTAAAAATGAATCATTAAGCTATTTTACCATTACCAAAAGTTTAACTTTGGAAAAACTATACGAAAGTGAAAATGCGAAAGGTGGATGACCATCATTTGTAAACGCAATACAATGATGTCATCCATCGCAACATGATAGTGTTTTATGCGAGCGTTCATGTGGAAAGAGTAATCAAACTCTCAACCTCACATCCGTCAGCCCTCAATATATCGCAGTCCACTCTTAATGTTTAATGCATATATTGATTTCTCTGCTCATTGCAGAAATTATATAATGAACTCTACTGTAGAGAATGCAGAGAGAGATGGGAGATAACACCTGCTCATTGAATTTCTGTCAAGCCAGTAAGAAATAAATTTCTACCGAGACTTGTCTCACCCTGGGCTGATATCTTAATTATACAGAGAGAGATAGAGAAACACTCAAGCTTTTTTCATATGCTGCCTGATCTACTCCTGAGATCACCCTGGATCAATAGATCCATCATTGCTTTTTCAATACGAGACGTGGCCCGTTGCATTTCAGCAGAACTGACGTGAGATTATGCTGAAACAATGGACTGAGCTAAGTGATTTAGACCAGCGATGACTTGCACTATTTAGCTGGAAGAGACTCTGTGTCTCCAAACACTGTCTATCGCAGTGCGCTGGAAGTCTCTGATGTGTGTGGACATGTGTATGTTATGTTACATATGTTCTATGTTATCATTAGCCCCCACCTCAGTTTCTTTTCTATCAGCAGGAGAAGGGAGGAAAAGGGTCCCTCTTTGAGAGGAGGGAGAAAAGGCAATTTCCTGGGTAGGTTTAGAGTGTTTGCCCCGCTGCTTCTGTCCTCACCGATGCAGTAAAATACACACTGCTGTCCATTCAATGCCTCAGCGGCCATACCTCAGCCTCTAAAGAGGATGTTCTAACTTCTTCCAACAGCATACCAGAGCACAAACTTCCAAATTCATGTTTTACATAAGAGTCTGAGCTGCTGTTTACTGGCACTTACAGTCCGGCATGTATTCACCTAAACATCCTAAACCTTTGCAACTGCCGGTTTCGACAAATGTTCCTCTTATAAAGGTTTAGACTTCAAACTTTCAGAAGAAACAAAGGTAAAACTTTCCAACAAGACTGTATATGTTAACATTACTTACCACAATAGTTATGAACTAAAAAAAAAAAAAAAGAATACTTTTATAGAATTTATTAATCTTATAAAAAACATTCTTATTATTATCACAGTTAAAAACAGTTGTGCTGCTTAGTGCTTTTTTTTTCTTTTTTTTGGAAACTGTGGTATGTTTTTTTAATGATTCTTTATGAATAGATAGTCCAAAAGAACAATATTCATTTAAAAAATAGAAATCTTTTGTAAAAAAAAAAAAAAAAAAAGATGTCTTTACAGTGAACTTTTTATCAATTTAATGCATCCTTGCTGAATAAAAGTAAAATCTTTTTTTTTTTAATCTTACTGACTCCAAACTTTTGAACAGTTCTATATTTAAAAATTAACATGAACTGAGATAAATGTTGTAAAAAAAAAACTTAATTGAAACTTCATACTTGTACATTGTAATTTGCTAGAAAGAAAGAGCAAGCAAAAGAGAGCTAAGAACTGAAAGAGAAGACGAAAAAGTAAAAAACAAAAGAGAAAGAAAAAGAAAGAGCAAAAAAGTGAAAGAAAAAGCAAGAAAGAGAGACAAAGAAAGAGCAAAACAGCAAAAAAAGAGAAAGAGGTTGAAGAAAAAAAATGGTGAAGAGGTAGAGTAAAACATCTCTGTAAAGGCTGTGCTGAGCGCAGCTCTCAGTCAGTCCAAATCATGAATGGAGATTCCGTTTTCTCTTAATGTGCTGCCTCAGCCAGTCCCTCACAACCAGCCCATTCATAAAAAATGTGGGGCTTAAATGTGTGCGTGTGTCGGTGTGTGTGTACGCGTGTGGCTTGTTCCACTGCAAAAAGTTAGTGAAAGAGGAAAGCCTGGCCCCCTCTACGGGGTAGAATGACTAGTCTCTGTACATTTTTGGCACTCTTGAGGATGTTTTTGCAGACTTTGTTGCATAGCAGCTGTATTTTGGAAAGTTGAGAGCTGTAGATCTGCATATTTTGTTTGAGGAGGGGCGAGGGGGTGAACACAACAGCACGATCCAGTGATATATCAGACTCGTCGAGAGAGCTAACAGAAGTGCAAACAGACTTGAGACAGTAAATTCCAAAATCCCTTTGAACATCTCTTGTGTTTTTATCTCTCCTGCTCTTTTTATTTCCTGTAGACTTCTCTTTTCTGGAACTGGATTTATAGCCACAACTTCCTATATAATTACAACAAGGCACAAAACCAAACAATGGCTCTCACAACACAGCATTTGCAGGATTAACTCACATCTTGGAACACTCAGCATTGAGACAGAGAGAACAGGAGAGAAAAGGCAGCCTAAATTATCACATTTTAGTACAGTTGGAGGGGAAACGGGGTGGGGTTGAAACCTCCATTCAGAAAAAGGAACCATGAGGGTGGAGTCAGTTCTGCTCTTGGGCATTTTCATGAATGGGAGAAAGAATCCTGTTCTTTGAGTGCCATTACAAACAAGACTAAATCTCCTTGTACTAATCAATACTGTAAAGAGATTTTTAAAAAACAACAGCGTTTCATTTTTGATGTTCACAATTACTGTTTAACCAATAATAAATGTACAGTTTTAATTTCTTACAATTTATGGGAAGTTTTGTGTTTGCTTTGTGATCTCTTGTTCTGATTCATTACCTTTGGCTACTCATTTTCTACAGCACTGTCTAGTTTAAAGTCTAGAGGAGTCATTTTAAATCATGTTAATGATTCCCTAACTAGCCAAACTAGTCATCTTCACATTTATATCCCAAGTTCTGAATGACAGTTTATGTACCAAGGAGACCAAATTGCTGAGTTCCATCGCTAATAATGACAAACAGGTCACAGAATTACACCAAATGGAGACTCTCAATGTGGAAAAACTAGAGGGATGGGGATAGATTTGCCAGATGTGCAGGTGTTGCACAACAGCATGTTCAGCACCTCCCCCATTTCTTTAATCTGGCATTCCGCTCCATCCCGGAGTCTTAGACTCACGGTCGTGCCCAGACGGGAAACAACTTGACTGACACAACAACCAAACACTTGACTCCATGTATCTTGTTTTCCCTCATGTGTTTACAGACAAAAGGCCAAGAGACAGTTATGAAACGTAACATGCTGGCACAATTTAGCAAAACATCTGACTCACCTGAATGTCATGATAATCTTAGTGAGTTTGAACCAATAGAGAGGAGGCTGTGTTTGGATCTTAGCTGGTGGCATAAACTGACCCACACCATAAGGACCACAAACATGGGAGAATATGTTTATGTTTATAGCCGCCCTGTCAACTCGAGGCTTTTTCTCAATGACGACCTCAATTCGTGAGTTATTACTCCATTATGTCTAAATGAAAGGGCGGGTGTTGCTGTCAGTCAAAGCTTTGCTCCACTTAACTAATGTGACAGGCCTGTCAGCCTGAACTCCCATCTCCTCTGTGAGTATTAGGAAAGGCTGTCAAATGCAAAGAGCACTGGTGATTGGTTATGTCCTGATGGGGTTAAGTAGACATGACCCTTTCCTGCCCCAGAGTTCACCTCCACTTCCTCCCCCTCATTGTTGCACAACAGACAAGAACAATATGTTACGGGGAGCATCTGTCACTAGAGGTCAGATCTAGAATAGCGCTGTTTGCACACAGGAGTTTACTACACTCCGTCTTTTAGCAAGCCACGGCCCGGTTCGTGTTACTGAAAAAAACAAGATCTATGACTCATTCCGTGAACTATGCAACCCTTGAAAAAATTGTCACCATAACATACTCGCCAATGTGGTAAAGGCCCAACCCAATATGTTGTGAATGGCTGTAACAAAAGGTTCAAGAGGAACTGTTTACAGAGTGCGCGCCACAAAGCCCGGCACGCCATTGACAGGAGACACAACAAAACGAGGAAAGCAGTTGAAAAGGCGGCTTTTGCGTTGTGCGGTACAGGAATTTGCTTTCCCATTTACACCTCTGTCAGACACAAAAAGGAAATCTTTGTGCTTGACTGCTGAATGATCTTTTACCGGCTTCCTTAGCTGCTCAATTGAGTCTTTCAGGCAAATGCAAATGGAAGGTGCTCTTTAGTATTAACATCCAAATACGTCAGTGTAAGTGTAGTAGGTCATGTATCGTACGTTTCTGTTACGCACAGCCTGAGAACAGGACTGTTTGTCTGAAAATCTCCACGCCTCAGTCTCCAGCGGTTTGTCAATCAGTCACTTTTTGGACAAATAATTGGCGGACAAACCTACTTCCTCTTCTTTATCTTTTTGTTTTTTGTCATCTTTCTCACCCTCTCAGGTTTCATGTTCATTAATGTTCATGCATAAGATGTAAATCAAAAGGAATGATGTACTTACAGTTCTCCGAGTGGAAGTCAGGAACAAACTGCTCATCGCTGTCGGGAACTTGAGCTGCAGAGACCACCAAAATGTTAAAATAAGCATTCTAAAAACACGTACTAATATATTCACATATATGACGCATGTATAAAAACTATGAGTAAACAAATTATTATTTTATGAAGTTCCTCTAACCAGGCAGATATTATTAAAGTTTTATCACAAAGCAGAAAAGCAATTTTCAGAAATATGACTAGATTCTAGAAGCGCTGTTTCTGTTTGGGGTCAATTTGCGGAAAATTAAAATGAATTAAAACAAAAACCTTAAAGTAAAAAGAATTTAACAATATAATGAATTTATATATAACTATAATTTAGTATAATATAGCAAATATGTCTGAAATAAAGAAAAACATTAAAGGACATTTACATTTGTCTGGAGTCCCTTAAATAGTAAATATAACCTGATACTTTATTTATTAGTATTTATTTATGGAGTCTCTCTCTGACCCCAAAACACCATGAGGGTTAAAATACATTTTTGGATTTAAGTTTTCCTGTGTTTCCTTCTTTCTGCCCCTGCTGACTCAGAAATCAGAATCAAAATATGTTTTCAAACCAAGTCATTTTTCTTGAGCACACAGTCTAAATGGACACTGTGATTTGACGAAGGGATGGGCTGTCCATTAGCTTAGCCTGTGTCTCTCTTCATCATCCCAGTGAAACCTGAGTTACTGCCTCTGGACAGCCCGTGACCTTCACCTCCACTTTTCCATGTGCCAGCACTTTTCCACGGGCAGCAGATCAATATCACTACTGAGTGTGTGTGTGCAGATATCTTGATTACTGCTGAATTCCATCAGATGAACAGTAGATGGGCTATTATTACTCTTGAATCAAAATTTGCTCTCTCCTTCTTTTTGTATTTTTGCTTATTTTTTTGCTTGTATGTTTGACTTTGTGTCAGCTTTACTCATATTAATATTACAGATTTCTTTTTTATTCTTTATTTTTATTACTTATTTTAATTGATTGATTATTTATGTATTTATTTATTTTTATTTTTTTATTTTTTTAAAAGAGCACCAGTGCTGGATCTGACATGTTCAAGGGCATATTGGAGTGACCAAATTTGGATGTAAATAGGTGATTTCTGCCACATCGTTATGTAAATCCTGCAACCTAATTATAAACGATAAAAATGTTGCATAGAAAATTCACTCAAAATCTGAGGGGGGCACATGCACATCCGGCACCTCCACACATCTGTATCATATACAGGCCTTATTTAAACATAATAAGGGGTGATCAATGTCAGTCCACAAGAAGTGATGTCCTCCCCCTACCCATCACCAACACTCTAGCTGGATCCTGCTGATGGATTTACAGTCTTTCGAGCTGATGTAGCCAATTACCTCGCTTATCCATCGTAAGCATGTTTCAACAGAATAAGAAATGATTCAGAAGCGAGCAAATGTAGCAGCGTAGCATTAATACTAAATGTCTCTTCCTGCGCACATAGAAAAAAAAATCTGGAGGACATTCTCAGACAATGTTGGTCAGCTCTGCTTGGGGAAGTGTTCTGGAATTCATCACCTGCATTGAAGTCTTTGAACGCTGGCTTTTAAGGTCATGCAATAAGTGTTTGAGAAGAGAAAGGGAGCAAGAGAAAGAATAGAGAAAATAACTAAGGGAAAGTAGAAGAAGAGTGCAGTTTAATGAGCCTCAGACAGAGAAAAGATAGCTTTGATCTTTTTTTTTATATCGAACTATTGGCATGCGTACGATTGTAAGATAAATGTTTCTGACATTACGTACAGTCATTTCTTAGGTGTTTATGGCCAAATTAAATGTGGATAGATTCTGTTTTTCTTTAAAGGTCATGCTCGGTGAAATCTACACAAACACTAGCAATGGATATGTCTTACATACCGATTGCATAATAATGTACAGTAACAATCAATAATGTCCCATAAAGGGTATTAATAATAATATGTGGATTTGCTGACTTTACTTTTTGTGGATTTGTACATTTGCAGACTGGTTCAATAATGGAATATGATTCCAAGGACTGCCACTCAATACAGTTGGACAAAAAGCCTTGATAAGTCATTGTTATTATGCTGATGAATAAAATAATAAATAAAAGTAGCCACATTGAGTTGTCCTTGAATAAAGCAGCTAAGATATTCAAATTGATGACAGCGACTTTGAATTTCCTGCCATAGTTATATTGCCTTTTCTTCTTCTAATTCTTATTTTCTGGACTAAGTAAGATCTCAGATTTATTCCACACCAACATCTCAAAGCACCATAAAATATTGGCCCTTAAAGCCTGGATTTAATGCAAATGTTATGTAAAGTGGTGTCCTTTAGCTAAAATAATAATAATAATAATGGATTAAAACTAAAAACTTTAGATTTTTTATGGCTCAATAAAAGGCACAAGCAAAAGAAACTTGGGTTCTTCCCCTTTATCCACTGTTCTTTTTTATTCCTGACATGCAATAGCTCTTAGTCATGCAGGCTGGTGTATGACAGTGACACTGGTAACATACTTCTTTTTTTCTTGGGCATATTCTCTCTCCTTTTTTAGCCAGCAGTCCATAAACACAGAAACCAGAACATTGGGAGAATTAAATCCATCTCTTTAACAATAATCTGGCACTTCCTGTGTGACGGAAACCGTACTGATGCCCCTTTGAGCATGTTCAAAGAAATTACATTAATTTCATAGATCCTGCTCTTATCCTGTTGCTATACTGTAATTATATTAGATTCATTTAAGTGTTTTCTTTTCTGCCCCAAGGAAGATTAGTAAGGCTGTTTTTATGAGTCAAAGCTGAAGCCAATATTTGGCCCACCAGATAAATAAATCATTCAGACTTGTTTCAACTTTTTTGAAAAGGAGTGCATGCGATTTTTAGACAGATAAAAAAATATATATCAGTTTAATGTGAGTCCCTCAAGCTTTTTAGAGTTTCCAGGGCTGATTGAAGCCAACTCGATCTCTCTCAGTCGAGTTAGCATGTGTGTGTATACATAGTCACATCAGACCGTGTGTCTGTGAATGTCTGTGGGAGTCTGTCTGTCTCTGTCTGTGTGTGTGTGTGTGTGTGTGTGTGTGTGTGTGTGTGTGTGTGTGTGTGTTTCAAGTCAGTGAGCTTCCAGGAACATCTTGTCAAGGGCTTTGAAATGCAAGTCAGCACAAGACCAAAGTTTGTCTGTGCAAGCATGGAGACATGTTTCCTTTTTCTTTGAGGGAACCTGAATGACTTTTTTTTTTTTTTAGTTCGGCAGATCCTGGGAGGAGCCAGGAGGTCTGTCTTGAAATGTAAAGAATACTCACATGACTGGACAAGCTTTTCTATTAACAACTTTTGGCCTCCTTCTATGTTTTATCTTAGCCTTTAAAGTGAAATATCCCTGCAGCAGTGTCTGTTTTAACAATATGGTGAATTACTCATCATCATAACCGCCTGATTATAAGCCATTGCCTCCGAAAAGTTCACGGCCTGGAAAACTGAGGCTGGTTTTAAAGAGCAAGTGTGTGTGAGCAATAAAGTTATTTCTTGCTTTATTTGTTCTCTCAAAACAATAAAATCACTGTTCAAACTTCATAGCTAAAGTGTCTGCACTACTCCACCTGTGTACTTGTCGTGGAGTCAGGTATGGTTCTCTATTGTTTCTGGTGTATGGTCATTGCCTTCCCTGTCTCCTGACTGATGTGTGAAGTTCACAGTTTGATGCTACATAATAATAGCTGATAGTTCTGCTCTGAGGATGATGCAATTTATTGAGAGCTCTTGTTTTGACCATGCACTTTAAAATCCTTAAAATATCCCATTAACAACATTGAGGGATTCCTTTAAATGTCTTTAATATTTAAATAAAAAAATCCTTTAAGTTATGTTTATAATATTGTGTTACTTCCCTAATTTATTCATTGAATTTAAGACTCTTAGGTGTTATCTGAAGATAACGCATCTCATATTTGCCATATGTCATCTTAACTGCATGCAATTACAACCAGACTGATTTAATCTCTGATAAAGCATAAAATAAAATTATGCATTAACATTCTTTCTAATATAAGCTAAAATTGGACAAAGTCACTGTTTATCATTTCATTTTTAAAATCGCATTTATATCACCTTAGCTTTTTTAGCTTAAAATACACATAAGGGTTTGCAATGGGACAGATGTATAATTAATTCAAAACAGCGGGGTTCCAGCCACCCGGTCTCATTGAGAGCAGCCTTTGTGTTCTCCACACTCTGACATGTACACAGTAAATTGTTTCTGGCAGGGTTCATTTCAACTATTTGCCTCCTGACTGTCCAGCTTTGATGCTGTTTGTTTGCTTTGCCTTGGTGTAAAGGCTTTAAGAGCCTTTGTCAGGACTTTCCAAATAAAATGTAACAAGCAGCGTTGTGCAATCAAGGCATTTTTGTACAAAAGCAACACATATACGTTGACACAATGATTGCCCTGATGTACAGTAAAAGAATCATCTTAAATTCAGGCCTGAAATACTGTATTGGACTATCACGCCTATTAAATTTCTAAAATGAAAACATGAATTATTTCTAACAGCTGTCTTGCCTTATTAAGCAAAAAAGCCACCTCAGTCTAAATCTTTCTATTGTTTTGTTTTGTAAATCTCACCAAGCAGCGTGAACTTGCTATAGCATGTAATCCTCTGACATTTCCTTGCTCACTGCCACTAGAGGGACATATTTATTGCAATATAGACACACAATACATGCTTAGAAAAGGCACATACCTTCGGTGAGCCATGTCTCCTGAAGTTGGCGTAAATCCTGAAAGAGATCTGAAAAGGAACATAAATCATTATCACACTGATCTATTCTTCCATACGAGCTTCAAAGATTTATTTCCTTTTTTGTTCCTATGTTTACTAGAAAAATTGTTCTGACATACAGTCAGATTTTGGTAAATAGCTTTTAAAACCTGCCTTTTCAAAGATACCGACCTGACAATATACAGTGAAGATAAAACAATATGAAATTTTTAAACTTGCTTGCTACTTTACCTTCGGATTCCTGAGGGGGTAATTCGGTGTCCATGTATTTCCTTTTTGTCGCCATCACCAATCTATTTAGGGGCCCATTTCCTTGCGACCTCTACAAAACAGAAACTGCATTATGCAAGTAAAAAATACATACTCAAAGAATTAGAGTGTAACTTAAGAACCACAAAGATCGATATTTATCTTAAAACTCACTATAAATAACCTAAACAATATTAAAAGAAATATTAAAAGTGATAATTGTTACAATGCACTATGACAAGGTAGAAAAAAATACAGGATACTGTCAAGACTAAATACTTTTTGCCATATATAGTGTGAGATTATGCCCATTCAGCATTAAAACTGAATTCACTGCATTGCCTCTTACAATAGCAAATACTGACAATTCAAGCATCCTGAAAAGGGAAGTTTTGAATTCTTACAAAATCTGAATTTTGTAAGAATTCAGATTTGAGAAAAGCGTTTGCTGAAAGGATTACACTTTACCTTTCGAGCGCAACATGGAGAAAACGAATATTTAGTAGACTTTTTGCGACAGTTTTACTTGGTTTCAGCCCAAACTGAAAAGAGTTTTCAACGCAGCAGCGCTTGCTTAAAACAAATCACATGCAACGACGACAGAGAAGCAGCACAACATCCCCGCATGAAGCCCAACGAAGCTTTGAAGTGAATAAAGTCATACTCACATTAGCTAAAGTATAAGGCACTTGCTGGTCCAGATATGCATCCATTTTATAATCCAGTCATTTAGGCTGTGTTTTAATGAGATCCACGCAGACTGAGAGGGGAAGGAAGACGGACAGAGGCAGCAGCAGCAGTTTGTGAATGGAGCGCGAGAAGGCTGCATACGTAATGAGCTCCATTCACAAAAAAAACCCACCAGCGTGCGTATAAACACACACTCTGGTTTCCGCTAAATCACAGACTGCACAGCTCGAGACCTGTTCTTTGCTTCATTTGAGGCAAGACGCTATTGTCTAAAGAGTTTGCAAAGGATTTTGTGGGATGAAGACATTTTATACGTAGAATCTGACAACTAATTTGTGTATATGCCACGTCCGCTATCAGATTATGCTAGTATAGTGAAGGAGTTATATTCTTCATCATTGGCCTAAAGTGATCGAAATTAAAAGTGTATTGTTTTATATTGTTTAGGTTTCAGTGATGATATAGCCTACAGTGTAAAAACGTATTTGTTTTAATAAATTTAGCTTATTATAATAATTTGTCATTTCTAACTCTAGTTTCCCTGCAGGATCACTGCAGATTGTAAATTGTATAGCCATATATTTATATTTATATTTCAGGTAGCAATAAAACTTTTGATTGTTTGACAAAAAAAATTATTTTGTATCCAAAATTTCAGTTGGGAATGTATATGTTTGGCATATACGGTAGATGTGTGGCCAGAAGAAAAAAAACAATCGCTTTCCTTAAATCATACTGCTAACTTTAACTTGCTTTTCTTGCTGTCGGATGTTCGCTTTGTCGGAAGGATTTTGATTGGTGGATTTTCTCTTTCAAGAGCTCAAATTTATTTTCTTTGTCCTTCCTTATGAATGAAACCTCTCTGCGCATTCCAGCCAATCATATTCAAGGTTTAACAACCGAAGGCGGAGCTTACGTTCTATTAGCCAATCGCGGCTTGAGAATCCCAAGGGCTTTCCCTAGTACGTTTCCAGTTGTTTTTCATTCACAAAAAAGGGGGAAAGTCGAGGAAGGAAAAATGCCATTCATAAAAACTTGCCCTAGCAAGAGTGTTTTTATGGTTGTTTTCAGCGTTTGCTCTATTAACAACAGATACGGCTTGCGAAAACATCACGTGGTAGCTGCTGGGCTCGGAACAGCAGTGGACGGTTGCAATCTCAGTAGTGTATAAATTAGTGTACACTGGCAGCGAAATGCACAAACAGCGACACATACTTTCCATTAGAATAACCTGTGCAAAAACAATGACGTTCTCTATTGCATTAAACTGCGCGTAAACAGCGAGTTACTTACAGTAGCCTACTGAATGTTTGGCCATTTCATGCGCTGTGCGCGGACATTTTGGAACAGCAGCACAGTGTATGTGCCCCTTCACAAAAACGTACCATGCGAAACACAATATCAAAAGTTAGTCTAGTATTTCTAATACAAAACTGTATAAACATGGTATTAGCCGTCACTGTAATCAAACAAACTACTAGACCGAACGTTAAACTTTTTATGGCTTTACTAGTACATAGGCTGGTAGCCTATAGCCTAGTTTGTGTGTGTGTGTGTGCTTAAGGTATTTAGTTAAGGGCACTGCTGGTTTTAATTTCAGAAAACATTGTTAAAAATATTTTAAAATAGCCTATTTTTATATAGACTCTCAGTATTGTATATCTAACACAAGTAAGAGTTTTTCTCATTAAATTAACTGGCAAAAATGTGGTTTATGACTGATTTGGGCATTTGTTTAATAGGACTTTTTTGCCTAATGGTTAGAGAGTCGGACTAGTAACCCAAAGGTTGCGGGTTCGAGTCTCGTATCGGCAGGGATTGTAGGTGGGGGGAGTGAATGTACAGCGCTCTCTTCCACCTTCAATACCACGACTGAGGTGCCCTTGAGCAAGGCACCGAACCCCCAATTGCTCCCCGGGCGCCGCAGCAAAAAAATGGCTGCCCACTGCTCCGGGTGTGTGTGTGTTCACTGCTGTGTGTGTGCACTTTGGATGGGTTAAATGCAGAGCACTAATTCCAAGTATGGGTCACCATACTTGGCCACATGTCACGTCACTTTCATATAGCCTACCACTATATGCCTTTGTGTCTGCCTTGTCTTTTTCTTGCTGTGTGTAAGGCAGCTCTCTGAACCTGAACTGCTGGTCACAGAACCTAGACTGTGTGTGTTTTCAGTTAGTGCCAGTCATCCATGTGATGTGAGAGATGAATGAGAAATATAAGAGCCAAGGTCGGTTGTTCCCCAGCACACACACAAAAACACTCCACCCCATCGAAGAACAAGCCCTCCATTCTTTCTCAGCTCCTTGTCAGGGCAATGTTTACTCATATATGTATGCCTTTGATTAAAAAGAGATTTCCCGAAGGTAACTTGTAACTTAAGTCTAGTACTAGTCAAAACACTGCTTCGGAATGATATTCTTCAAATAATAAAGCATGCACATGAATAGCCTTGTCGGGATTTTCATTATGCTCTTGTTGGGGCTGAAAATATAAAACCCATTAAGATATTTTAATTATTTTATTTTTATTTTGTATAATAATAATAATTATTATTATTGTTATTACTATTGTTTCTTATGTATTATTATTTTAAGATATTTTAATAGGTTAAAAATATGAAATATAAAAATTTACATTAGGCATTAAATAATTACAATAACATGTAATAACGCAAAGCCATAGCTTACACTGAGTCAGTCTGTACTTTGACCCCCTGTTGGGTTTTCCATTATCTCCCTTGCCAGGGCTGAGCCATGTGTTCAAACCATGAAACGTATGCTCACATTTTTCCTGCCAAATATTTATCTTTTCTCTTTACCATCGTCTCATATTTTACAGTTTATAAAATATTCACAATTTGTGTATGTACTACATACATATTTAAGCATGCATGATACACTGTATGAGACAAAATCCCACTTTCCAGATCATAGACAATAATATGGCTATTGGTGTCCAGTGGGGCTTGAAGCATTTAGAGTAAACAGGAAGTTAAGTGTGTGCATAGGCAGGCGCTTGGTAAGGTGCTGACCCTGGAATGTTTACAGTGCACCGAGGGTGCGAGGAAGGGCAGCTCGCCGGGCTGGGCCATGTCAACTGGAAGAAGATTCCCAGTGCAAACAGCACCGTGTGAAACTCAGGAACGGGGCGTAGTTGCAAGGTCGGGGGACAAACTTTTTCTTCGATCCTCTACTAAATAGTACGACTAAAAATAATCCCTACAGACGTGCTGGCCGCTGACTTATCTGACATCCTTTTTATGCCACATTGCCAAATTTGGAGCCGGGCTGCTTTGTATCCTGTACAGCAGAAACCATGGCGCCTGTGTGCACGTCCTCTGATTTCCTTCAAGCCGTTTTAGTTGATTTTAAACCCTGCATATCTATATTTCTATTTGGGATTGCACACATCATTGTGGATGCTTGAAACAATTATTGAGGCTGTAAAAGCTGTGTTCACCTTGGCCACATTTGGGTTTGTAGACATTGTAGATGCTTGAAACATTTGTTTATTGTGGCTGTAAAAATTTAGAAGCACCTCATCCATGAAACTAGCAGATATGAATGCTAGCATTGAGGAGAAAAGGAGCGGATCAGGCTGTCTGTTGCTCTGCTGTCTGTTGTAAATCATAATGTGGTGTGATGGCAGACGCCGTGCCAGATTTACACTCTCTGGCACCGGATCATTGTGTCACACTGTCTTTGCCTACTGCTCTGCACCAGCTCACATTAAACTATTTATTTCTAGCCACAGCGGATTTCTCAACAATGTGGGGTACTACAAAATGAGACGCAGGCGAGGATTTGTATTTGTATTTGTACACAGTTAAAAAAAAAAAAAAAAATCTGTGAAATTTACAAAAAAGCTGGATAGCAGACATTTACCTTAAAGAAAGTAGAAACATTTTAAGTTTTACAGATTGATTCATAGTTTTAAAAAAATGCTTAAAAACACAAGCAGTAAAGAGAAAGCCGAAGCAAAGATCATCACAAGTATTTTTTTTCCATGAATACTAAACATGCTAACACACAATATGAAAGCCTGCTTTTCACCACCAAATATAAAATAAAAAAGGCAAGTGCGACTTTTTTATGTCATAATTTTGACTTTTTTCTATTTTGAATTTATCTCACAAATTCAGACTGTTTCTCGCAATTTAAATTCTGATTTTACAGAGTTTACATATTGCAGTTTATACCTCACAATTATGACTTTTCTTCTCAGAATTGCAAGAAAAAATGAAATTGTGAGATATAAACTCAAAATTGCAAGAAAAAGTGTGAGATAAAAGTTCTCACTTACCTTTTTTATTTTTTATTATTCTGTGGCAGAAACAAGGTTCCATACACAACACTAAATAATGCAATAAATAATTTAGCAGCATGAGATGTAACACAAGACCCTAATATATTGTAAATAACTGATAAGAAAAAAACTAAGTAACATTTATTCAAAAATCATCAAAAATGAGAATTTTATTTGATGTTTTTTTCAGTCTATATTAAGATTGCTTTTCACTTCCAAAACTGTACATTTAGATGTTAGATCTATTATATTTTTTTTACCGTACAATGTTTGAGTATCATTGTGCCCTTCTACAGCAGAATCACTGTGTGGATGTATTTTTAAGTGTGCCTCTGTCTACGTTTTTTGAAGGTCTGATGGACATTTATGTGCACTTAGATACCGGTCCTCGCCTTTTATGCATTCTTACTCAGTGTTTGGCCATTGCCAGGATGCCTGCCTATGTCAGACTAGGCAGGAAATGCCTCCGCTGGCATCTGAGCAGGCATACGCTGCTCGATCCAAGCATGGCCCAAGCACCTGCAGCCTCAGTCTCCTGCCTCAGACAGAGGCCTGCTTGTTTGTCAACAGGCCCTGTCCCTGTTAAAGTCAGGGTCTCTCCGTAAGCTCAGTGCCATAGAGGATCAATCAGACTGGCACAATAGTCCTGTCCTCCAGCGAGATCTTTCTGATGCCCACACAGCTGCACCAGCCCAGCTGAATGTATACATCAGACACAATGACCTTTCCCTCTTATTCCCTCTGACAG